AGTTACTATTATTGAGCTGAGTTCTATCACTTCCGCCCCACCTCAGATATGAAGTCTGGGCCCATAATCTACTCTGATCCTTCTCTGGTGAAAACAGTATGAAAGAAACTTTAAAGATAAATTCTCAGAGGCATTCCAGAAATTGTCTTTAGATCCTAAATTTCTTCTATGAAAAGCGTTTCCAGATTACTTGCAGATCAAGTGCTGAAGTAAAGCATACCTGCTTAACTATATTCCAACTAGAATATTTGTGAAATAATGGCAATTTAAATGTGAAATTCCAGAGAAACTGCTGAGGGAAAAGGAAAAAAAGTATTCTCTGTTCCTGCATAGATTCCCCCTGCCCCAACCCTCAAGGGTGGGATGGGGGAAGAGGAGCAGAGGAGATGACATACAGAGAACAAGACAGACCTCAGACCAGCCAGTGGCACTAGGAACAAACCACTCAGACTAGATTTACTTTCAAATTTGACTTACCTTTAGATTCTTGTTCTCTTCAAATCAGACTTCTCCCATGACCAGCCAATTGCCAAAACCCCTTAGCTACTCACTCCAAGGTTAAGATTTCAGTCTCTTGCATAAGCATTCTATTTTGTATAAATAAATGAACATTTATTGGAACAGAGCTGAATGTGATTCTCACACTTTCCAGGTGAATGTAATAACTGCTGTTTGGACCATTTTGGAAGCCATCTCTCTTTAATTTTATACTTCTGGTTTACTAAAACAGGCTTGTGATTTAATCACATTACCCACAGGAAAACACGACTGCTGTAAGGCATAGATAAAACAAAACAAAATCCTCCTGTGAAGAAGATAAGAGGGAAAGATTGTTAGCATTAAAAAAAGTTTACCTCTCCACCACTCCAAGTGTATAAAACTGCAAGTATTCTTCAGACCAGGAATATAGTGTTCTGTACAACAGCTAGCTGGGTAACTCCCAACACTTTTGAAACCAGTCTGACCAGCGAGGAGTAAAGCAGTGTGGTTATCTGTAGCAAATGTAGAGCTTATCTGAAGCTCTACAGTTGCCCTCCTTACCTGAAGTGCTGCAAGGAGCACACTCATTGATTACAGGGAAAGGCAGCATTATTTCAGACTTGGCTTTGCACTCCCCAGTTCATGCTGAGGGTTTTCCTTCTGCTGTAACTCTCCACAAGCTCCAGGGAAAGCACTGCCTCACCTGAGCCAGGAGGCTGCCTCTGCTACATCAGTGGCTGGTTGTCCCACAAAGGGAGGAAGATTTAAAATTAAAGTAACTACACTGCTGAAGAATAATGATGTAATTTTCTGACTTGTTAGCAAATGACTTTGCAAACTACCTAGCTGCTACACAAGGCCATTGCTTGTCAAGACAGCACTTCAGACATGCCTCCCTGCTCCCTGGCACCAGGGCCTTCATCTTCTTGCCTGACTACAAGCATCTGCATGTAATCTAGTCATTAAGGCAAAAGCTTGCTCACCACCAAAAGCCCAGCCAAGCAGCACCAGGAGGTGTCACAGCCACAGAACTACCCATTGCACCTATGCAAGATGCCAAGAGCACCACAACAGGAGGTGAAAGGCATGGCTAACAACTAGTCTCTGTGGGCTTCTCGGGTAACATGCGACAGCCCTATATCTACATGTACTGCAGCAATATGTCCCCATTTGGCAGGTACAGGAGTGGGGCATGGAGCCATTGTATGCCATTCCCAGAGAAAAATCATGGGAAAGTCTAGTACTATAGAAAAGAACATTTTAAACTGCTGTACTGCTTATGAGGTATTCTAGGTCTTTTTCCTCCACTGATGCAAATTCAGAGTTCAGAGTCTGGCATGTCTTCCCTTACACCAATAAAGTTTATCCCAATATAAAAGAAATTATAGAATAAATCTGTTACCAAAAAAAAGAGGCGGGTGGTGAGCTAAAAGTTATGACAAACCTTGCAGTACTTTAGCTTTACTTCCCATGTGGTTTTTCACAAAAACATAAGTGAATTTTTTGAACTATTGTTTAAAGTTGAGTTAATATATGTCCAGTTATTGATTTCTCTTTGTCTAATTAATCATTTACTGCATTTTAAATTAGAAGTTCCAACTAAACTGATTTGCCTCAAAAGCTGTTTCCATATACTCTAGGCTCACAGCTACAGTCACAAAATCTTTTGCCTAGAATGTATCATTTTTAATAACCTAGATGAAGACACATAAATACCAATGCTTAATTACCAGAATCCATGTTGTCTACAAATCCTTAAGGAAAAGTGGACTCAGAATACAGGAATAAATACTGGACAGGCCAGACAAACAATAAAATGGGGACAGGACCAACTAGATAAGCCTTGGGGTAAACTTAATTGCACATTTAATAAGTATAAAATGTAATAAGTCCAAGAACAACAGGCTAGATACATAGGGAGAAAGTTATTTTGCAGCTGCTTAAACATTTCTTGAAACTAAATGTTTTCACCAGCTTTTCTTTGACAGCTAATGCAAGAAAGCATTCTGGAATTAGTTTCCCTTTTGGAGGCAGGGAACATTCACAGAGAAGAGAGTAAATCATTAGTCATGGCTATAACATCAAAACCCTTTAAGAAAAAATTAAAAATTTTAGTAAAATCTACAAATGTAAGAAAAAATTAAAATTTAAGAAAAATATTTACAGAGAAACTGAATTTATAATTTCAAATATATAATCCGTTAACAAAATGCATCACTTCAAGTTGAGTGTACAAACCTTGTGTTAGTCAACAGTTCTTTCCCTTTAAACATTTCTCCTTCTGCACTTCAAAGGGGAATTAAAGCTGCAAAATAAAGAAACTTACGTTTATCAGTGACATAAGTGATTGAAAGGAAAAAACTCTGAGATGAGAAGGCTCCATTCAAAGCTTAGTCCCTTGAGGCTCAAGCGTCATCAAGAATTTAACCACAATTTTATAATTCAACTCCTACATGAAGGAAATTGCTGGAAGTTGTACTAGCAGCCTCATCTTTTCACATTTTGCTCTTTGACCTACTGACAACCTGCACAATAGAATCCTGGTTGGCATCTGACATAGGCAAAACCATGCTGGTTTTGAAAGCAGAAGAGTTACATTCCCATTAGTACCTTCATAAATGTAAAGACGAATTTTTAAAAAGGGAGACAAGAGGCTGTCAAGAGATAAGAGCCTCATTGAAAGCAGAAGAGTTACATTCCCATTAGTAATGTAAATTCATAAATGTAAAGACGAATTTTTAAAAAGGGAGACAAGAGGCTGTCAAGAGATAAGAGCCTCAAAATGAAGTGCAAGAGAAAGAAATGCTACCTACACATCATGAAGACAGCTCACTCAGAACTATGGTCTTGAAAAGATGAAAGAACAACAAAATTATTTTAGCCTCAGTCCTTTAATAAGGATTACACTCAGGAAATAAAGGCATAACATCAAAGCATAAAACATGGCATGTGAGCTGATGAATAGCTTAAGATACTAAACTACTGGCAGTCTTAGCATTAGGCTTTCACTTAACTCAAGTATTTCTTTATAGTCACTAAGTGGCAAACATTTGTTTGTGCATGTTGAGGTACTGCAATGGCATTTCTGTTCGTCAAAACACAAAGGTTAGTCCTGAAGTCAAGTGTCCTGAGCAGAACAAAAGAGAAGCAGTGGGCTATGAAAGCTGCAGTGAATTCTGTGGTTCACATAAGGGAGAGAAAAATGCTTGCAAATTACATCTTTCTCTTTTCCTTTCTATCAGCTGCTCACACTAAAACAAATAATGTACTGAAGTGAATTTTGATTGTCATCTTCAATTTAAGAATGGCTAGAGTGAAAAATCTGGAGCAGACTATTCACATCCACTTCTAGCCAACGCATTCATTTCTAGTGAAGCTGTACACCTTCTAAGCTACTTTCAGAAATTATTCCAAAAATCAATTTGCTGGCAGCATGCTTTTCCCTTCTTAAACCCATATTTGATTCTGTTTCATAGGATGTCCTGAATCAATTAGGAGTTAGTATTTTCCTACATACATTTCACACACCAGTTCAAAAACTGACCTACAACTTTTGAAGACAGTGCAGAATTTTGAAGAAAGCATCTGGATCTGTAATTAAAAATCAGAGAAGCACTGAGAAGGAAGAGTCCTCAATCAGGCATTCCTTCCAATTTTTCCCTCAACTAAAAACTAATGTGCAACAGTGAGCCACTGAAGTGCCTTTGTTTTACTGAATGTTCCACAGCTGTGGGCTGATAAGATTACAGCAGAAAGTAATTTTTAAAGTTTTCCATTCATTTCCAAAACCTCAGCTGCTACAAGTGGCATACAGTCCTAAAAATTTTAGAATAATGCACTGAAAGGTACAGTATGAATACCACTAATAGCCAGAGACACATCTATTTTGAGTTCTTTTTATTCAAATTAATGGAGTTTAGTTAGATGCTGTCCTCCCTAAGGAAAAGGTGCACAGGCACTGGTGGCTGTTGGAAATGCTAAGCTTTCTAGAAAATCCTTCAAATATGACACATGGCAGCCAACCACCACATTCCTAAGGATGAGCATTTCACTAGCTTCTGTTCAATGTAAAAAATTAAAAAGTATGTCAATCTCTTACAGGAGTCAGCTGCAGACTAATGACACTTCAAAAAAATATGGAGGAAGTACCACTAATTACTGCATATTTGTTGTCCATTCTTTCATGATGAACCCTATCTATACCTTCTTTCTCTGAAGATTTTTTTACAATGAGAAGTTAAATAAATACACTAAAAAAATCATCAGAGAGCAAGCAAAGCAGCAGAATGCAGATTATCAGAATACACACACAGTGCTAGAGTTCAGTTTTCTACCACATTATCCATACTTGCAGCAAGAAAGCAAAGTTTCCACATGCAATATATGCTATTAATAAATATTTGTCACGTTTTAGCAACATTGTGGAAGGCTAATGGAACAGGTTAACTCCTTGGAAAGCGTCAGCGAAAATAACAGCTTGTGCAAATCTCTTATTGCAATGCCATTAGGAGTCAGGACAGTCAGAAAAGAAAGGTACCAAAACTTCCTTTCCCATTCCATTTGAACTGATTGCCCACAATAGAAACAAACATTTCCTGTGACATTAAGTTGTCATCAGCTTCTGTGATTCCCAGTTCACTCAGTCTTTTCTTGTGCATCTGGCTCTTCTTTGCAGAGGTAGCCCCGAGTTCATTTGCAATTTCATAATTGCCTTCAGTTTGTTCAGAAATCTCAGCTTGCTCATAAAGCACCAACTCATCAGTTACACATTCAGGTAGTTGTTCTTGCCTGAAGCCCTCTACACAGGCTGTCCCATCACCTGACTGGGTAGGATGTGTATTCCCTAAGTCAGGAAACAGTAAGAGTGTCATCAACAATCACACAAAACAGCCAAATAATTTAAAACTCCTGGAATTCAATTTTCTTCAGGCTTAACATTTTCACCTCAACACACTCACTTTTTAGATAACTACTTGTGACAGCCACATATTCCAAATACAGCATAAGATGCTTAAGGAAAAGGTTTCTTCTTGAGATGACTTCAAGTTGCCAAGTGATAATGATATTAGAGAAAATTACAGTGGGTTTACATGTTGCAGTTAGTGACAGTTCTTGAATAAGACATAATATGAGAAAAACAGTTGTCATCTTTTTACTGCAGAGAAAAAATTCTGTGCTGGGAGCATCTCTCAGCTCTAATGCACGAAAGAAAAAATGAGCAGACAATTATCATGAAAGAGAAGAGCTGTAAGAGAAGCCGTATCTGCCTTTCTTGCTGGTCACATTCTTGTTTCTGTGTGACCCAAGGAGGCCATCAGTCATACAGGCTCTGCTTAGTAGGGAGCACAGATCAGGTACGTAAGGACTTTGCAATGAAAGTGCACGCATACCATGAAGCACAGACATTCATAGTATTTCCGTGCAGCAAGTTCATTTGTTAGGAATTTCCAGTGTTCTGGGAGTTACTGATTTATTTCAGCTAAATCAATCTAGACATTATTAGAAAATTTAAGAGACTTGATTATAAATTATGCAATCCAAAACATGGGTATACTAGATTTATCAGTTTTAGGCGTTTCTTCTAGGAAGAGAAAAATACCTGTTCTCTCTGCTGAAGCATCCTTTACATCAGAGGGCACTGCTGGTCTAACCAGGACCACACCATATCCTTCATTATTATGGATCACATTATTGACCATGGTTATCTTGGGCATGTCATAATGTTCATCTAAAAAGTTCTGCAGCAAAGAAATGGAAATCCAACACGTTACATCCAGGTACAGGGATGCAGAATATTCCAGTTTTATGTAGAATCAGTTCTACGTATTGGCTAGAATTTTATAATTTGCCTTATACAAGTGACATTGCAAAAGGCATTTTCTTTCTGGCAGATAAGAAATAAAACAAGTATACTGGTTGGTGGACCAACCCAAGGCAAACAAGTACCATCATCATCATACATGACATTAAAATTTCTACCATAAGGTAGTAAGGTTTTAAGCCAACCTAAATGCAAATCATTTGCATTAATTCTAGCAGCTCTAAGCTTTTGAAAAACAAGTACATTCTGCCTTGAACTGACCTTTATAAGTATTCCCTCCTTGCAGTGGTGTATGCCGTTGTTTAACAGGGTGCACGTACTACCTGGATATATTTCCACACCAGCACCCTACAGGATAAAATCGATTACAGTTCACAAATAGTTTGGGCACATTTCCAATTTAACTTATTTCCTTATTTAACTCCATTGCAGATCTTTCACAGAATCATAGAATCACTAAGGTTGTAAAGGACCTTTGAGATCATTAAGTCCAACCCTTAACCCAATACCACCATGCCCCCTAAACCACGTCCCGAAGCGCCACATCCACACGTTTTTTTGAACGCTTCCAGTGATGGTGACTCCACCACCTCCCTGGGCAGCCTGTTCCAATGCCTGACCACTCTCTCGGTGAAGAAATTTTTCCTAATATCTAGTCTAAACCTCCCCTGGTGCAACCTGAGGCCATTTCCTCTTGTCCTATCACTAGTTACTTGGGAGAAGAACCCAACAACCTCCTTGCAACATCCCCCTTTCAGGTAGCTGTAGAGAGCGATAAGGTCTCCCCTCAGCCTTCTCTTCTCCAGACTGAACAAACCCCAGTTCCCTCAGCTGCTCCTCATAAGACTTGTGCTCCAGACCCCTCCTTTGTGTTCATCTACCAGGTTGTGCAATGCAAAATTGTGTTACTACTCCAGCTTCACAGCTTTGTTAACCAACTTCAGCAGCAATACCCAAGATTGAGGCCTTACAGATAATACTATTGCCACCAGTCCTTAAAAGCTCTGGTAAATAGTAACTGCACAGCCCTGCATTACTTTCCTGTTCTTTAGTCATCTACCTCAATACTCAAAGCCCCATCATTCTTCAAAACGTCTAATCAGAGTTCAATTTTGTGTTTATCATCTTTCTGTAAGAATCAATGGACAAAGTGTCCAAAAAGGGCATTTCATTTGCACAACCAATTCAAGGTTTAATGAGAAAATTATTTATGGGCAGAGAAAACAGAAAATCACTTTAAAAGTATTGCAGGACATGAATCAGTCCAGCACTGCAGCAACGCATATTTCACAGATGTCCGCTGTTACTACATCATTTTCATATCATCACACAAATCAGCATGAGATACTTGACTGGGTACTATTGGAGGCTACAAGACCCTTGGGACCAACCTCTTAATCAATAACATGTAGCTGTCCAAAATGAATTTGTAAAGGTTGTCTCAAGAGCAACAGACATCACCCCATTACTGACTATATTATTTCCAAGCAGAAACCTTTATTTTAATTTAGGAAATAAGCCAGAGTTAAGAATTTGTTTGTACCTTGGCACCATACAAATCTGAGTTTTTCATTAGCAGCTCAGCTGATGTTCGTATTGTTATGCCTGTAGTTTCACATTGTAACACACAATTCTCCAGGGTGGTTTTCCCCTGATGGACATCTACACACACAGAAAAACAAATACTGTTAAATGAACCAGTTACGCAAGGGCAAACCCCTCCTACAGGTTGATGGACTTGTAGCATTTTTGCAGTGTGATAAAATTACTATTTTAATTTTACCCACTTCAGGTTAATTTTACCAATTTGCTCATGCATGGTTTGGACTCATGCTATTTTTCTAGTATAAGCAGGAACACTTTGACACTAGTCAAAGACTTGTCTTAGAGGTTTTTTGGCTTTTTTGAAAGTGACAGCAACTATTCTTTTCATTACATACCTAAGAGACTTTTCGATTAATAAGATATTAAATACATGTATAGAGGTGTTAATAAACATTTTAACATGTTTAAAACCACATGTCTGTTGAGGCAAATTATTAATTAGCACCTTCTGCAAAGACAGAAGGCCACAGCCAATAAACTCATTGGTTACAACTTAATTATTTGAGCCTCAGTTTGAACGCGCTGTCAGCAAAGTTCTACGCTACTTCTACAGCCCATGTCATTCCTCGGTGGAGAGCTGGCTGCGTTCAACTACAGTTGGATATTGCCATGGGAGTTCTTTCATGGAAGGAGGAATTATTTCCTTTTCCAGGTAGCCTGACATAGGCAGTGCAGCAGAGTCAAGTTGCTTTAACAGCAGAAAAATGATCAAGTCAAATGATCTTATCCAAGTATAAGAATAAAACGCAAGAGTTGCAATAGCTTGAAAATACAAAGAGTAGAAGTTATTTTGATGTCCACTTTATAAGCAAGTTAAAAAAACAGGAAGCCTTGATATTTATACCTCCTCTTTACAACATTTTGTTAGAACTAGTAAACTCTAACACTGGGTCCCAGATTTAATTCTAACAGTGAATTATGAAAGACTCACAAAAAGGTCAAGATGCTTTTATACATACTTAAAATCCCCTCCACAGCATCATGTTGCACTAACTTCAAACTGGAGATCCTTATATTGGCTCCTGTACAGTCCACAAAGTTGTCTCCTTTCCCTTGTTTTTCTATCACGATATCATCTGGCAGGCCATAGCCTTAAAGCAGAGATGAAAGACACAAGTTTGATGAATAACTGGTAACAGTCAGGTGCTCAGTATATAACAGGCACTTAAATTAAATATGGAGGTTTAAAACTTGAGGTCTAATACATTGAATAGGATTTTCCACCAAGCGGCCAGGCTACACCTTACGTCCTTTCTGTACCAAGGTACAGGCACCCAAAACCAAACTCAAAAATTAGCTTACTTGAATGACACACAATAAAAGGCAAAGTTATTTTAGACAGTTGAACAAAAGGGTGACTGAGCTCACATTTGCCAAGGCCAAAGTTTTCACTCCCGAAAGTTACAACAGAGCAGGGAGATGCAATAGCCAAGGACACACAGGCACCTGCAGTCTGCTTTCAAAGTACGGAAATTCACTACAGCAGAGGTTCCAAAGAGCACAAGGGAAAAAGCAGTCACCACCACAATACAAGGAAGCAAGTACAGATGACTTCATGTTGTCAGTAAGCTTTACTCCACTTCCCTATTTAAATGAAACTTGGGTCAAAATGTAATGTTCCTGTGCTATATGGGCTTCCAGATTAATTCATATTAAAAAAAACTTTCACAAGCATATGCCAACATTGATTTACTAAGCCATCCACAGTTGTCAGCATTCAACCACTTACAGGGAAATTTATGAGCATGTAAAGCTTTTATTACTTGTCACTGACAAGAATCATGATAAGGAAAGCAATAATGCAACATCTATTAAAGCAGCATGAGTTCTATAATTTTCTGAAAGCACACACAAACTCAGATGAGAAGTGCCTAAGCAAGATGCTAGCTTTTAACCAAGTACATAAATAAATACTATAATGTGCAAATAGAAGGGTTAAAAAGAGAAAAAACCTTTGAACAAGAATTGGCAGAAAGTTTTAAAGACAACAGATTTAATGCAAAGTGAAGTGATTGATACTTCAACACACTATACTATCCAGAAATCTTTTCCCAGTGCGACTGATTTATGGTCACCCCGGGGAGGCAGTGGCATGGGGCAGTTTACTTCCAGTACATTAAAAGAGTACCTTGAGACAGCAAGTGGCAGATCTAGTTTAACTTCACAGCACTACAGAAAGAGGTTATTATGCAAGGCAAGAATTTTAGGAATAATTGTCCTACAGACTATCTGCAGTTTTCTAAACATGCTCTTAGCTTGCTTTACATTTCACCTCTGAAGCAGCAGCTCTAGTAGTAAGGAAACTGGTGACAAGTCAAGGAATAGAGAAGGAAAGAGTCACCTGCTGTCAAGTGGTGTTCAATACACAGCATGATCACAGCTGTACAACCTGCCTGTAAGCTAAGTGACTCCACAGGAGCTAAAGGCAATTGTCATCCAGTAACACTGATCACAGATATCAAATGGGCCGAAGCTACAAGTTCCCATCCACCTTGAACTACAAGCAGAAGGGAAGTTCTTAGGCGCCTTTGCTACACATTTTTGTCAAGTGTTAAAGTTATCCTTACCATGATTTCCTGCAGCTGCTGCTGCTTTAACCTTATTTAGTTCTTGTAAGATTTTATTTATCCCTGATTTACTAATCCTCATACTTTCAACCTGAGCACTGACTTGCACAGTGGCTGAGAAAAAAAGCTCTACTAAGCAGTGACATTATATCTTTGATGAGTCAAAATGGCCAGCTACTCAGATCAGTGACAGCAACATTTTTCTTGATGCCCCTACTTCAAATGTTTTTGGCTGCTACTATTGCTATAAAAACTTCTCTAACAGGAGTCCGTACAAAAAGATTAAATACCCTGACACATACTCATTATTCAGAGAGTGGTTTATACTAAAGATACACATTTATATGCCTTGCTCCTTAAAATAGAGCAGCTCATCCTTTAATAAGTGTGCTATTGCACCATTTGTATTAATGTTTCCTCAAAGCTAGAAAAGCAATAAATACCACCCCATACAATTTTAGAACAACATCATTCTTGCAAATAAATAAAGCACTTTACTGAGGTCCTTTATTCTGCAGGGGTATTGTCTATCAGCATGCATATCTATATAAATCAAACATACACAAGAGAAAGGTGAAAAAAAAATGACACTCAAAACAATAAGGGCAAGAAAAATAAAGTCCAAAACAGCAGGATATTAAACTCCCAGCCTTCTTCCCATTAAGAAGTTTTGACAAGATAAAAATACAGCTAAATAAGTATCTTAACAGCTGCACAAGCCCCCGTGATATACAGACTATTACACTGCAACAGAGTGTGCATGCCTAAGGCAGAGGAATTACACTAAGAAATCAAGAATGGTGAGGAAGAGTTAGCAACATACCCTAGACAGGGCAGAAGTATTTCAAACAAGTATTTTGCAAGAAAAATGGAATCACATATTCTGTGTCTGTTTCTACAGAATAAACACACATGTTAAATCAACAGCTCCCTCCTCTACCCATGTACTTCACACAATGCAGATTCACAATGGTAGCCCCCACACACATTGCTGACATCCAATAAGTACCATAAATGAAGTTCTAATAGCAC